ACACACACACATACATGCAGACACAGACAGACACATAACACACATACATACACACACATACACACACATACATAGACACACACATACATAGACACACACATACATACACACAAACACATGCACACACGTACATACACACATACATAGAGACACGCAGACATACACATAAAGACATAAAAAAAAACACACATACATACACACACACATACACACAAACACATACATACACATACATACACACATACATAGAGACACACAGACATACACATAAACACAAACACACATACACATGACCCGGCTTCGCCCGGGGACTTGGATCCACGATGCCCCGCCGCCTTTGTCTCCCCAGTGACGATGTTCACACACGACAGCAGTTACGCTTTTGAGGCTGAGTGGACCTAGGGGAGGGCCAGGTCCGTTTCAAATAATCGTCAGCGGTGGTGGGCGTGAGTTGGAATCGAACTGGGGTCGCTCAAGCAGCTTAATGACTGTTTGTACAAAGAACATATAAAGAATCGATTATAATAACCAGGCAAGAGTCCACATTATAGACTGCCAGTACACGCACTCAGCTTCATAAGCAGGCTAGAGTGTACATGATAGAGTGGCAGTACGCTCACCGAGCTTAATAAGCAGGCTACAGTGTACATGATAGACTGGCAGTACGCTCACCCAGCTTAATGAGTATTTGTACAGTGAACATTAAAGTAATCGATTGTTGGCGCGTTGGGTTTAAAAGTAATATTAATAGCACACATTGTGGTGGGGGTGTAGTGAAGAGTAGGAAAAACTTTGATGAATTTACCTCAGAGTGGCGTGGTGGGTGTCGAGGCCTAGTAGCGTGCAAAGCCTGCGGCCTCGCCTAAAATTGTCGGCTTGGAAAAGGCAGGGTACGGGTGGCGTTCCTTCCCCCCCCCCCCTAGCGCTCCAACAATACTGTGTAATGGCTATTATTTAATTAAATACGGAGCTTATGAAAGTGGCGAAGGCGTGGCTAGCCGTTGGCAGGGGCAACCGCCGTCCAATGAAACTGCAGCCCTTGGCGAAGGCGTGGCTAGCCGTTGACAGGTCCAATGAAAGCGGCGAAGGCGTGGCTAGCCGTTGCCAGGGGCAACCGCCGTCCAATGAAAGTGCGTATGGGCCAAAGTCCACACACACACACAGACAGACAGACATGAACGATTTTATATATATAGATATGTTACTATTCATGAGAAAGTGTTTGAAATTCCGCATTCACTTGATGGAGGACCTGTCCTCGTCACAGGACACATGTTGTTATTTTTCAAAGAAAATACAGAGATGCTAATTTCTTTGACCCCAGAGATGATGATGATGATGATGTTTGTTGAACCTGCGACGCGAACTCACAACTTTGCAAACATGAAACATGCACTCTTTCGTGCTAAGTAACCAATATACACACATATATACACGAGTGCGGGCTGGCTCTTAGGTCTCAAAGCATAGGAAGAACATCGTGAATGTTTGTCAAGTGCGAGAAGAGTTGGTGGCTGACATCTGCAGGACGTTTTCATCGCTTGCAGGAAGACTGACTGACATTTTGATACCGTGGCGCGTTAGAGTGTACGTATGAAGGAGCAACACAATTCTAGGAGATTCTGCTTAAGAAAATAAAACGTTTAGTGGCTCCATCTATCACTGTGATGTAAAAAGGGGCCGGGATGCTGGACGCCACAAACTTTTGTTGTGTTTTCTCACAGCACTGTCGTGTTGGGTGTTTATTCATTTATCCAAAGCATTTTTTATTTCAATAGTTACTGTACACATAATGCACATGTACATAAACGGTAAGTCAAACGGCAAAGTTTTTGCAATTAGAAAAAATCAAGGAAAATATTTTTTACTTTGAATATACACACGAAGACCATCAGAACACTGTTAAAATGTTCATTGTTTCCAAGATTATTCTGAAAAGATGCATAAGTGTACATCTATAAACTAAGATTATGCAGCATAATTTTGACAGATTGGTGCCATTAGATGCTAATGTATGCACATTAATGTTCAGATTTAAATTTTTCGTATTTCTGAGAAAGCATCAAAAATGTTTATCTAAAAATAATCGTACCTATGCAGTATGCACTTAACAATACATCTCCATTGTCTCTGAAACACGAAAAATCTCCAGATTTCCATTGTGAACACAATTCACTACACTGGCACAGGCAGGGTTAAAGTCATCTGCATGAAAGTTTTAGCCCTGCCAGAAGGTAGAAAACAATAAATCATTTCAAATAAAATATTAACCAAATAATATCCCAACACAGTTTATCCATTAGTCTAATTACCTTTCAGCACCTAGAGGATTGGAACGCTACAAATCTGCGGATAAACATCAAAATACAGTGCATTATTTACTTACGCAAAGTCACAGCACGTTTCCATCAGCTCCTGCTGCACTTTGGGGCATTTCTGCTGCTGGTCAATTAAGTCAGGGAGGCCTCCAGGACCAGCCCGCATTTAGCATGGAAAGTGGCTTTATTGGCGCTAGTGCCGGGCCATTAGGCACTCCCATAAGCCTCGTTTCTGCAGCTCAGCCAAAACGGGCCATGTGCTGCCCGCAGTGCAGAGGGGCACACACGGCACGCATTTAAACAGACTCCGTCCGAGTTGCAAGTTGCTTGCGAGAGCTTATCTGCGTTGAGCAATCGCGTGGCGTGCTGCATTGTCCTTCAAAGATAAAATAACAATGATGTTCAGAAAACCTTTTTTTTACCATTATCAAAGTATGAAAAATAAGAAGAGGGTCTACCTATTTGACGTTTGAACATCTTAGCACCTGTTTTATTGCCAGAACGGGTCAAAGCTATTCTTATTTTTCATACTTTGATACTGGCAGAAAGGTCCCATGATGTAGTTACTCACCCCGAGCTATAAATGCCCTGATACTGTCATTGTCTTCGTACTCTTCATCTTTCGGCTTTCTTTGATCTGACGCTGGTGGGACTAGGCCACAAAGAAGGCTGTCTGGTGTAGGCCAACCAGTTTCAAAGACAATCCATATATTATCAAAGTATGCTTGTATCTTCACCATAAGTACGTGCGGTTAATGCAGGCCTGATTCCTTGCAAAAGGTTTCTGTTTGGTGTTTGAACATCTTAACTGTGTTATTGCCAGAAAGGGTAAACCCTATTCTTATTGTTCAGTTATTCAGAAGCTGTACACTTACATCCATTGTATATGATGTACAGTTTAAAATTAAAATGTTAACTATAACTTGCATTTATGTTGTGCCCATATCATAACGCCTCGGAAGCATTTTGTTTTAGCCCGGGGACCCCCTGATGACAGCGATCCATTGTGCAGTACAACTTAAATGCAGTCCACTGAAAGACTGATGGATTACCCAAATTTCTTCTCTCGTTTGTTTTACCATAAACTGTTGTATTACCACAACACTAACCGAGTTCTGAAATGTACTATTTTTCCATTGTTTTCAAAGCTACTTTAAAATACTATCGTTTGAGTGCAGCTGCGCTTTTGTGACGTAATTGAAAGGCTACCTTTGCAGCAAGTGTCCTTTGAAAGCAAGCACGTATTCTTTCAAATCCTCAGATTAATGTAGGTGTGAACATATGAATGCACAATGCTTTACACTGCTATAACGTGTGATTTACATACGTAATCTGTGCTGTTTTCCACTTGATTTTTCTTATTATACTATAATTTATCATCCAAATTCCAACATGACATGTTTAACAACGTTTACCTGACATACATCTAGCAGGCCACGCAATTTCAGTGCTATGAACTAGTTTGACTTTTTTAGTTCCACAGCTCACTGTAATTATGAAAGTATTACACTTCAGCCTCCCTTCCCCATTTCCCCGTCCTTATTACACAAATTCATGATTGCAATATGATTACGGCAAGTTAATGAGTACCAGTTACCATTATCTTAAAAAAGCTAAACGTAAAAAAAAATCTGCATTGTCTGTTGCAGGGTATGGATGCCCCCTGCTGTTAGAACGAAAGTTACCATCTCCAGCCACGGTAAACACCAATAGTTACGGAAAGGTATGAACTGTGGATTATTGCTCGTGGCTGGAGATGAATATGATTCAGTTTTAGAGTTGTTGTTTTTTTCAAATCATGATTTGCAAGTACACCTCACTGCGCATACATTTGCACACACTTCATGCTACCTAGTCAACCCAAATTGTTAAATGTTGTGGATTTGGTCTCCCAACACACGGGTGTGTGGAAGCAGTAACACTTTTCCACGTTTGTTCACGTAACCTCATGAATCAGCTGTCGGTTGGAGGAGGGTTTGTAACGCATATTTTACGAACACAATCTCACGCAAAAAAAACATTATGAACCTCGTAGTCCCGTCCAATCCCAGTTAATCATATTAATCCCCTATGGGAAATAAGGCCATTGTACATTTAGTAAGATGATGATATACTGTGCGCAAAGGAGTAAGGGAGAGGAAATAAACTCGGTGTTGCAGTTTTGTGTTCCTCACCTTGAGACCGGTTTTACTGAAACGCTAACAGAGTAACTCGCATGCCGAGTTGTAGGCCTCCTTGTAGGCATGCGAGGTGTCATGTTGCAGTGGGAAATTGCGATTTCAAGAGAGCAGCTTCAGAAGTGCTCCTCGAGGAGGTTGCGCTCGTTGACGTGAAGTGTTCGAAGCAATTCACGCCACAGAGAGGGGGCCAGACAATGACGAGGTTTCAAAGAGCTCAATCGCGTGAAAGAGCTATCCCTTAAATTTCGATTTAAAGCTTTCGTGACTGCAGGGATTCATCTTCTTGGTTCTTTCGGTAAAGTCACGTAGAAGGGAAGTAATAAAATAATAAAAATAAAACATAATAATTATTTTATTTTATTATGTTTTATTTTAATTATTTTATTACTTCCCTTCTACGTGACTTTACCGAAAGAACCAAGAAGAAGAGCTATCCCTTATTAAATAAAATAATAACTACGACACTGCTTCCCACTTCCCAACAAGTGCATTGACGTGACGATGTCGTTTCGTTATTTATTGAATACCACGCGTGCTCAAGTATTTTATACACCAGAACCATACTTTGCAATGCAACTGGATAGTAACATTTCACTCAACTATTAAGGAGGATACGTCATTGCTTGATGTGTTTTTTTTTACATTAGTTCATTTACTATGATGCTTAATGGTACATAAAACACCAAAGGTCAATCAATCCCAATCACCAACTGTAGAGGTCACCATTGAGCATGTTTATCGAAATATATCTTTCCACACCAATAATGAATAAAAACGAATTGTATAAACCAGGCAAAATGATTCATAACATTCGGCAAGTTTAAGCCTTCAGGCCAAAATAAACAAAAAACAAACCCAATAGTCTTAAACCTCCTGCAGAAACTGAGGCAAATTTAGATTTATGTAAATAATTGCCACATTGAATAATACAAAAACATCGGTAAATAAAATCAAAACGTATCTGAATACAGATGAGGGCTGTTGCCTAGGTGGTCAGCTGTGTGCAATTCTGACCGTGATGTTCACTCTGGCACAGCAGATGGACCCATTAACATGGTACACCACAGCCATTAGGAAGCATGCGTTTTCTTATGTATCACCATATGCCTGTAAGCTATTGAAATGAATCCTTAAGATGATCTTTTTCGACAAAACAATTACTATTTAATTATGCTTTCACTGTACAAATTCATATGCGTCGCAGCTGTCCTCCGAAAACTTTCAAATCAAACTTAAAAGTGTCGCCAACGCTATAAAATGTACGATCCTAAGTTAACGACTGAAGTAGGTTGGTTATTGCACTGCCGACTATTTTGTACTCCATTTGTATTATGTAAAAGAATGTGTATTATATTATGGTACATTTATATACAACATTTAGTCAATTAACTGACCAGCGTGGTGACATTTTAGTCAAACAACCCCCAATGACTGACCTGGCACTGGGGGTCATCTCAACCCGATATCCTTCAGGGGTCAATGAAACGAGTATTACTTTGTGGGACATTGGTCAGTCTGTGGAGGCTGTCCCCTGCCAAGAGAAAGTGCAATTTTCGCCACTGGCTTGGAGCCACTAACAAATATAAGCACAGCCCTAATACTCATTTTAGGATGGAGGCCCTTTTAACAATTTAAGTCATGTTACAATTGGATGTTTTTTTTAAGTTGCTTAAATACAGCCATCATGTGACGGTCCCACCTGATGACGGAGACTTGTGTTGCCTCCGAAACGTCGTGATCTTTATTTTATTTTATTTTTATTAATTTTGATGTTTTACCTACGTGACTTTACCGAAAAAAACTAAGAATATGAATCCTTGCAGTCACGAAAGCTTCAAATCTAGAATCATTTTGCAGCTGGTTCAGAACAATTTCTTCCGAGCACCTTCCTTTGCACCGTCAGGATCATGCGCTGCCCGTAAAAGTGTTGATAGTCCGGAGGCAACTCTGCCAGCGTCTTCAGCGCGCGTTCCAGGATCTGCACGGCTCGCGCGGCCGCCACTGGGTCCTTGTTGCCGTAGGTGTCCGTGCGGTCGTAAGCGTCAAGCGGAAGATGCCGCCAGAAGACATTGACGGCCACGCCAAACTCCAAAGACGTCACGTTGTGGAACCACAGTGCTGCCAGCAACAGAGAGAACAATCGACCCACGCGAGTCACTCAAACAGCACGTCAACGGGACAGCACACATTGTGTGCCCAAAGAGTGCATGCAACGTCTCTGAAGGATATTCAGGATACAATTTAAAATCTCAAAATTATGAAACTAAACTGTTTTAAATTTACCAGGTAAGGCCCAGAGCATTATAGATATTTTACAGATGTGACCTGGCCACAAATGATAGCTCAATGAAGTGGCTTATCACATGGAAATTTATAGCAGCCAAATACTCTCAACGCGTGTTGATTTTAAATGGGGCGGGAAAAACCAGAGGACCCGGAGAAAAATCCACGCAACCACGTGGAAATAGTGTAAACCCCAATATGCAGGCGTCAGGGTTGGGATCAAACCCACAACTTCCTGCATACCAGGCAAGGTAGTTAACATCTCACCACCGTGGCGCAATTGTGGCAAGATGCCATACCCGTTACTGCTTGTTGGTTATACTTAAGGGCGCCGATAAGTGGTATTCCAGTAGAGAATAGCCTTGACCATAGGAATGTGGAATTTTCCTCACTGCCTCTAGGCCACCTATGGAAATGGGTACTGCACATGCTCATTTTAGCCGGGAGATGCTTTGACACGTGACTATATTATGCGCCGGCCATGGCTCATGATCGGTGGTATTGTTTCAATTAACCGAAGCTATTTGTATTCATATTCTTGGTTCTTTCGGTAAAGTCACGTAGAAGGGAAGTAATAAAATAATATAACAATACAATTCTCACGACGTTTCGATTGCAACACAAGAAATCATCATCAGGTGTGAAAACCACAGAAAGAACATTTTTGAATATCTAAGCTATTTGCTTTGTCCTTCTGCAAGATGATAACAAAGTGAGGTTTTCCTCTTTTATTAACCATATATTTTCAGTGTGGTTGAACAAAAACCGTAACATATGATTACTCTTTCATTAATGGCTTTTAAATGTACCAATCCCCATACTAACTGCACTTAAAGCTCAAACATTAGCCAGGGTTCACTTACGTCTAAGGACTGAGCTTGATATATCCACACAATGCACCCTTCTAGACGGTATATCATCCAATAAGGTGAAAATAAGTAGTGCCTCATCACTTCTCTACATATAATGGCACTTAGCCCAACTAATGCGTTCAGAGCATGCATTTTATATGGGGCAATATTGGTCGACTTTATCTTCAGGTTTTAATTAATACATTAGTCAAAGAACAGCAATGCATGTCACTTGCAATCTGACTGCTATAGGCTGTTAACCTCCAATTACCCCGGTGCTGTAATCGTCCAGTCAGTTGTAACCAAGTTAAAATTCAGTAAATGAACCATGTTAGCTCGCTTCATAATGTAATAGAAAACTAGCCGCTAGCAGCGTCGACAGTAATCAATTCGGTACTATTAAAATACTACAATCACCCTTGTAATAAACGACACCCCGTGGTGATCTACCCAATAAGTGAACATTTATGGACCTATTTTTATTCATTACTCAGAAGATCAGGCACGTTACATTGCTGAGTTTTCTTAATGCGAAAAATGACAACAAAAACAAGGACTGTGGAAATTAAAATTACAGGCGTTACAGGCTACGCAATGTCACAAAACACACTTTCTGTGAAATATATTATCCCATACAAACCAAAGCCACACCAACAATCGCAACTAGTTACATTCCCTAAATAAATCATGAATGCCATATAGCTCGGTTTAAAACATTTAATTACTTTCCCATGGAGGAAAGGTGAAAAAGTCACACCAGAGATGGGACACAGCACGGTTTTCAAAGTGTGAAACCACAAGCAGTGATTGGCTGAAGGTCACGGTGGAGAATGTTCTGGCTGATTAAAGGCAAAAACAAAATTGACTGGTTTTATTTGTAAAAGGTGCAAGCAGTATTTGTGTTAATAATTTAAACTGTATCCGGTTCCAAGTTACATGAACTGCTTTCGGAGGGACTAAAAACTATACGTGTTTTTTTTTCAGACAAGAGGAATATACATGCTATACGGACACACATCACGTTTCAGCATGCCGGTCTGCCGAATACCTGGAATGAAAAGGACATCTCCTGCCTCCAGCACGCACTCGTGCCAGGTGGCCTTGCTGAACTCAGGAAACGTTTTCAAGTCCGGGCTGTCGATATCCAAGACCTCCGACTTGTCACCTGCTCACGTACAGCCCAAACACGTTACCATTACAATACCATTGTATGCTATCACATTCTTGCGTATGGCAATATGTCCAGGAGCTAAATGCCAATGTCGGGGTCTGCAGGCCACAAGAGGATGTCAGGAGGGAGGTTGCTGATTGTTGCTGTTCCTCCGTTGAAGGAACACAGACAACGGTGGTTTATTTTAAAATCCGATGTTTGGGTTGCATTGCCAGTCAATTGGTGGCTTGTCTTTTTTTTCTATTCATGAAGATGTGTGTATCGACCTGTTGATACTCTAGTACGGTTGATGGTTCCACCAGTGTCTTTGAAGAATGTCAAGGCCAGGCGGTGCGATGTTTGTGGCTCGAATGAGGTGTTTATTACAATTAAAATGCAATGGAAAAAGGAGACCTTATGAAATTAGACAATGGGTTGTCACAGACTGGGCAAAGTGCTAATTGAATAATTAGCTCGAGGATGTAATTTATCTAGTAATATAATGCTTAATTCATAATAATATGTGACCTATGTTGCCAGATAGTTTGAAGTACTTAACGATTGAATATTAATCGGATTGGCTTTGCAAAGCCTGCCATGGCTTTGCAACCTAATGCAATATAGTTATGTATATAGTTTGAAGTCACTTTTATCACATATTGTAATGTTGCTCATGTGATAAATGTGCAACCTCAGCATATTGTGAATTTAGTTTCTAAATGTGGATTTAACATTCAAAAATGCAATCTGCTATCCCCCTTATTAAGGCTTCTAACATATTTCCTTGATTCTGACAGCATTTACTGTACAGCATGTTTTCAGTAACGTTTAATGTGACTTTTCGATTCTTGTGATTCATCAACTTACCGAGAATGACACAGAAGACGAAAAATTAGTTGTCTCACTTTAAAATGAATAAACCCTGCAGATTACTACCCAGTTGTGATTTGGAAAATATTCTTCATGCAAAAAAATGAGCAACTGAATGTCAAATCACCGCCTTTTAAATAACTACAGATATCCAGATTACACACGTCCCTCCTACAACCGTACACATTCCTGCAAGTTATTATGATTCATGGTAGCCGATATTTATAATGCCGAGGAGGATACCTTATAAGGCATGACAATACACAAAAGACCAGTTTCACAAAGTAGTTATGAATGCAACAGACGCAGCTCCCCAGTGCATTATTAAACATCTCATACAGTTTAGCGAGTTGTTAAATAATGCAAGTTCTGTATTAGTGCATGAAATGCTTTTGCGTCTAAACACGCTGTGCCGTCTCGCGTCGTACTGGCCACTTAACAGAAATTATTGTGCAGTGAATGCTCATCGGCACCTGGGCTGGGATTTTAAAATATTCATCGCTGATACATTTGTTTTGTCACCGCTATCACCTTTAAATGACGCAGGAGATGCAGAATAATTAACAATAATATGCGATTAAATGCATAATAAGACTACACAGCAAAGATAGTCACACATTTAAGAGAATTAGTCATGTCACACTGACTTTATGTAAAGCACATTATGAAGACTCATCTTTAGATACTAATGATATATTACTTATAATTAGGTGTGGAGCAGTAGTATAGTGGTTGACGCACTACATTTATGAACACGAGGACCTGAGTTTGGTTCCAAGCACCGGTCACGTCAGTGGAAAGTGTTGAGCTATTCCTGCCCTTGGCTCATGGTAGACATGGTGTGGGGGAAGCCTTTATCCATTGGTGGATTGGTATGTTTACTTATATTCTTGGTTCTTTCGGTAAAGTCACGTAGAAGGGAAATAATAAAATAATAAAAATATAAAACAATAAAATTCTCACTACGTTTCGACTGCAACACAAGCAATCATCATCAGGTGTGAAATCCACAGCAATAAAACATTTTTTTTCAAATTTTCTTGCTGTGTTTACGCGACATAACCCCAAAAAAACTTATATTATGGATAATCATGTTATCCGATTAGTCGAGCACTTGAACCAATACATCGTCAGAGCAATAGATCACGTAAACAATTGTATATTCCAATTTGACTCTTCGGTACCATTGAGGTAGAGGAAAGGCACGTCACTGGGGCTGAACAACACCACTCTCTTCCTGCCCACCACCTGAATCAGCATGTTATCCATAACCTGTACGAACGAGCACAGCAAGAGAAGAGTTAGCAACAGCACACGACACATTTTGTTATAACCGTAATATTTCATATCCGATTATCTTAATGTGTACTGTGCTCTATGTACTTTTGATTTTAGTCTTTGTCAATATACTGCTGGATCAAAGGCTTTTCCTACGCTGTGTTGATAATGGGGGTTATTTGACCATATTTTAATACTTCACACACTGGTCAGTGATTTCACTTGCCACTTATGTTACCAATGATACATGTGATTAGTAATTAAGAAAGCATTGGACTTTGACCATGATTCAAAAAAGTATCACTATTACCATACATAATTCATATTGCAAAACAGCATACCTTTCCTATTAGAAGTGATTATGTAGATCAGAGTTGTGGCATAGGTAATGAAAGTAATGAAAGTGCATTGTTTTATAACTTCAACTGCAATACCTGTACATGTATAAATACAATTCTACACAGGACACAACAAAGTGTGTGGTTTCACTAATGGTAAATAGAAGAGAAAACACAACTTGTTAGATCACAACTTTTGCAAATAACCCAAAATCACGTGTTTTGAGTCTGTCGCTGCAATGGAAAAGAAAACAAGTGGACCCAACAGTGCACAGCCACACTAGCCAACACCTCCGACTGGCACGGTTGGCTACGTACGGGGTGAAAGAAGTTCAACATATACACATGCAAATTAGTAGGGCTGCTGTTTTAACTTCATTGTGGCAATACATTTTTCTAAATAAAAAAATGGACCATAATATGTTTTGCATTTATCGGTAGGGGTTTAGTCTCCCAAATAATGAATGAACAGAAATGTCCAAAGAAATGGTACACATCCGAGAGGACATCCAACGATGGGATGGAGCTTGTGGGCCGGTGCTAGGTGGATTGTTACAGCGCAGAACCGATCAGAGATGGCAATTGGGGAGGGAAGGCATTCAGGCTGCAGAGGATTGATTGTATGAAACGATGTCTTAAAATAAAGTAAGCATGCAAAGAGTGTGAATGCGCCGAGCGTGATACATCATAGTGTGTCCAAAGCTGAATGCCCGGAGAGCTGATGCGGAAGACACTTGAAAAGAACTGCTCTTCTTCATAAAATTCAGGGAGGATGACATCCTTGGCCAACTCAGGAAACTGCTTTCTTATGTCAGCAACATCCTGTTTGGGAAGAGGGATGGGTCTGACTTTTTCTTCACGTGTACGCTGCAAAATGCCGTCTTATTAAGTTTCACAAAGATTCCAATTTGCAGGGCATACACACTCCAATAGTTTTTGATAAAGGTGTCAAGCGATATAAAACATGAAATGCATCACAAAACTATTAATGGTATTTTAAAAGTGCTGTACGGTACATTAATGTTGCAACAATTGCGCCGCTGATGGCAACGTTGGTTACCTTTTTGGGGTCATTGCCCAAAGCTCGCAGGTAGTATTTTTCATTCTGAAACAGAACCCATGTTTGTAAAAAAATCCAGTCATGCAAGTCACTCACTCATTTTAATATACACACACACAAATGAGTACCTCCTGGTAACACGTGTAAAATGTAATGCTATATGATTAATTTGAAAGTATCTATTAACCACTGCATTTAACCAACTTAGAAAGCGTAAAAAATGTCTGGCCACATGTGAATTGAGCAGTGTGCACATATCTCACGTTTTTAAGCTTCCTTAAGCTCACGTAACCCAACATATTGAGGTCGGCGTGGAGAGGTCGCCAACAAAGAACGTGGATGAAGACCGAGTGTGAATGCGAACGCTACTTTACCTCACAAAAGAAGAATTTAGAGTGCTTTTCTTCAGCCGTGCGTCGAATGAACTCATCGAACGGGAGGGTTCTAAACAACAGCGATTGCGCTTCACTTAAATTCGGCAACACAATTCCAACCCGAATCTGGTGGATAAGAGTCAGGCTGCTTTGCACACATTCACCAACAGGTGCTCCTGACTTCTCAAAATGCAAAGCTGGATATAATCATACTCTATATAAGCACAATTCGAATATAAGCAACACATGCTGAGAGTACAATGGTGGGGGGAAGGGGAATTTCGTATACAAGCACACTCAGATATAAGCACAGCTTATGCGTGCTAATATCTAGCTTCTGTACTAAAATTTTGAGTACAGCAAACCCTTCCCTCTCGCCGGTTTAGTTAGCTATTGCGGTTTTGCGCCAATTTATTGAGGTACAATTCGCTGATTGTGCCCTTGTCACTTGACCATTCACCATTGATCGCGAGATTCCTGTACAACATTGTAACTATGGGAACCTCATTTGCCAGTAAAAAATATGATAATTGGTTTTTTACCCTTCTATCTGGCAACAAAACTGACACCTTTTTACAAGAAGTCATGTTTGCATAGACCGCAATACCTGCAGCCATAATACAAACAAAAGAACATAACTTTGATAATGTGCACTGTCCTTGAAGTTGATTGGTCCACACCCGAGACAGCTTTCCTTAGAGCCTAGTCTCACATGGGTTGGACCAGATGACGCCAAAAGGCGCACAACTCAAAGACAATGCACCATCAGAGTATGAGAGCTCGGGGCAAGCATCTACACTATGGGAACCTCATTTGCCAGTAAAAAATATGATAATTGGTTTTTTACCCTTCTATCTGGCAACAAAACTTCAGTTTTGTTGCCAGATAAAGGGTAATCAAACAATTATAACATTGTAACTGTACTGCTCGCGATGATGATGCTGCCGCAGAAGAACCCACGCGGTGCCATCCATCTTGTCTGCCAAGCAGCCAGTCGCGTGTCCCAGGTCATGTGTCCCCAGACTCCAGTGAGGTAGTGAGATTCAGCCACAAGATTTTTCTTATTCTATACATTTGCCGTACAAGTTATATTAGGAAATATTAATCGTAGTTTCCATACAATATACTTCCTGTTTAATGTTAAGGTTGATGTAGGGTAACATAAAACAAAAGGATGGGGTTGTCGTATTACGAACCATGAACCAAACCCTCGTTTTCCCATTTGCCTTTGAGTTTGCGGATTACGGATTTGCCCATTGTGGCTAATTAAAAAAATACTTAACCCATTCAATGTGCAACGATTTGCTGTATTTCACGGCTGGCTAGTAACAGTCCAGCATGTGTAATTTGACGCACCTTAGTGTTCTGTATATAAATCAAGGAACAGAGGAGAAAATAGCTTGTCGCGATTTATGTTTTAACATTTGTATCTGTGTCGGAGATAACTGGAAGATACAATGGCAGCCTTAAAACTAAAATAGGTAGTTGCATTAAGATAATTTAAATATTCTCACAAAGATATGAGCATTGCTATCTTGTATACCGAATATTCAGCAATATAATGTAACATGATTTTTTGTTAAATACCATAACACATCTACGCTCACAATAACCAACGTTCATCACATAACCAATCACGGTCCATTAAAGTTACACAGGACGTATGCACGCATTCACAAAGTAACTGCTGATGCCATCAAATCGATTGCCAAACTCAACATGGTGAGTTGCTTTTCAAATGGAAAGTCAACGGTTCTATGGATAGCATGCTCCTCACCATGACTGTCAAGCCACAACCATAGACTTAGGGGTGTTTATGGATGCGAGCATTGCTTAGTACTGGGTCGAACCCAGGGTCAACACAAATTACCTTTTCAAACAGTAAAACGGATTTGCAGCATCATTCAGAGTGTGAATAACTCTAACTCGGTGCAATTCATTCAAAAACTGAACAACTGCTTCAAACAAAATACTACATTTGAATTAGTTGAACTCCTTTTGACTTATTATCACTACTCCTTGGTTCTTTCGGTAAAGTCATGTAAGTATAAAATGAAATAAAAAGTAAATAAAATCACGACGTTTCGGAAGCAATATACTTACGTGACTTTACCGAAAGAACCAAAGAGTATGGATCATTGCAGTTACGAAAACTTCAGATCTAGATTATGATTACTATTTTTGACAGAGACCCTGTTTTTCACGCAAGAGCATCCTCACTTGTAGGCAAAGTTCTTGTGGATGAAGTCCATGCGAGGTGAGGGGGAGGCGTGGACCCTGACGGGCCGTGTGCCCCCGGCCGCTTGCAGGTAGTCGGCGTCCCAGCGAGACAGGCACGGCCCCACATCCACGCCTCGCAGCACCGCCGGCCGTCGCTGTCAAAGCACCAACAGGGCCCAGCAAGCACCGGCTAGAGCAGTGGTTCTTAACCTTGACTGCAGCCTTGCACTCCTTTGGTTCTCAACCGTAAAAAATGTTTGTTAATACATACATCGGTTTGATGAAACACGGGAGTTGCACTTACATGCCCGTGCTTAAATTGTTTCGATGAATTACCTTCTTTAAAAAAAATGTGCCATGTCTCGCACCCCCAGAAAGGTCATCTCGCACCCCCAGGGGGTGTGTGAACCCCAGGTGAAGAACCACTGGTCTTGAGCAAGCGGTTTTCAACCGGGGGTAAGCAGACCCTTGGGGGATACGCGAGGTGATTTATAAATGTGTGAAATTATGTCATACATGAAAATCATTGGAGAATAATCATGTATAAAATAACTACGATAACATTTTAATCCATATAGTAATGCAATAACTTTCTAAACTCATTGATCGTAAACAATGTGGTTTCTAAGAGTAACCGGCAAACGTGAACAAATTACGTCATGCATGCAGATCGTTCATTGAATTTGTTTTTATTTGTTTGCAGTCAGGGGCTGGTTAGGATACCTCACAAAATGGACAAATTGATTAAAACACTGATGTTTATTATTCATATTTATTTCCCAGAAACCATGGTGGGTCAGACAAGGGGGCACTCTGTTGAAACAAAATTCAACAAGGTGTACAGCAGTTGCCCAAAAAAAATATTAAGAACCACTTAATAAGAATGCCCACACCCAGCAACTGCCCTGGGACGAACATGTTAACACCATCAAATATGTGCAGTATGCCTGCATCACAGTGGACGTTGGGGAATACAGGAAATCCTCTACTTACGAACATTCGACTTACGAACTTTCAGAGATACGAACAAACCGATCCATATGTCCAGTTGCCTGTTCGGACCGAGAGGCCTAAGTTCAACCGCCGCGCAATAGATGGCGGTGGTGGCATCTACATCTGCAGAACAGGAAGAAAAGGTGGCATCTACATCTACAGGACTTGATACATCTTTAAAAGCCATTCCCCGTGTTTAGTGTATACATGCCATACATGTCTGGAATCAACAGGAGTGCAGTTACGAACAAATCGACTTGCAAATAGAACTCTGGAACCTAACTCCTTCGTAAGTAGAGGAGTTCCCTGTACTGTGAATAGCAACATCGCCCCCCTACTGGTAGACAAATGTCCACTTGCACAAACAGGTGCTGTGTTCATCTTATATGGGCCACCTGCTGCCACCTAGCTGTCCCTAGGTTAAAACTCTGCAGTCTTGAGACGTTCGTTACGTTATGGGTGCAATATAAATGCAGTTGTAATGTATCACAGGGGTGTTGGAGGTCTCAATGAAGGAGACAGTCCACAAGAGGTAGGCGTCTCGCGTGAAAGTTGGGAGCTGTCTCACAGGATACCGTATTGAGGTCTCACCAGGGCTTCGGAGTCTATCACAAAGGTGGATTGTGCGACGCATTTTTCAGCCTCCTTAAATTATCTTCAATAATTTCACGTAGTTCAATTTCACTGGTTGTCATGACTATCATCAGACAATATGATAGTTAATATATTCTCCATTGGTGTGTGCCTTTATTTCTCCCGTCCGTTCAACGTACAGACACATCAACGAGAGGCCGGCGCGCACATCTCCTTCATGAGTGAAAGAATCAGAGACAAGCCACTGTAGCCATTCAACAGAAACTACGCGCCACAGAGTATTACTCTTAGGTTTTTTTCGGTAAAGTCACGTAGGTAAAAAAAAATAAAAAAAATAGCAGAATATTATTTATTTATGCTATTATTTTTATTACTTATTTTAGTAATATTTATTTACGTTATTGCTATTACATTATTTCTTTTAGTAAAACATTTATTTCTATTATTGTTATTTATTTTAATAAATATTTCTATAATTCTTATTATTTATTTAAATATTTATTAACATTATTATTTCTATTATTTATTTTAATAAGAATATTTATTTCTATCATTTTGATTATTTATTTTAATAATATTTCCATTATTATTTCTATTATTTGTATTATTTATTTTTATCTACGTGACTTTACCGAAAAAAACCCTAAGAGTATGAATCCTTGCAGTCACGAAATCTTCAAAATCTAGAACATAACGCCGTATTCTGCGGCGCTCCTTACAACGAAGACCAAAAACGCACGCGAACTCTCTGGCACGAAGCCCTCTCTCGTCTCGGCCAGCTGACCGTCAAACCCAAGGCGGAGTGCATCGGCGTCTCACCAGGGGCCCGATCTCCTTCACGAACACCTCCTTGGAGACACCTGTGTGCACATGCACCTGCATCCTCTCGCGACGCTGAGACAGACACGTCCTTCAGCTCTCTCTCTTTCTTTACTACGGGCAGCACCACCCCGCAAACCTCTCCTCTCGCACTTTCACTGAGGCCGTCGTGGCCGCCGCACTGCAAACATAAACACGGCACCCCCCCAAACCGTGTGAGTCTGTGTGTGTGTGATTCTGTGTGTGCGGAGGTTATTTTAAATCGGTGGAGCGTATGCGCACACGCGCGCCGCGCTGGAGAGAGTCCCCGCGATCGTGGCAGCCTCGCACCTTACTACAGTGCGATTACTGTACTTCAGTGCGATTACTGTACTACAGTGTGATTACTGTACTACAGTGCGATTACTGTACTACAGTGCGATTACTGTACAACGGTGCGATTACTGCACTACAGTGCGATCGCTTCATAGTCCTACACGCGGCGTGCCCCACATCGCCGCGCACACATCGCGCACTGTACGCGCCACGTGCTCGCGCGCGTACAGTGCGCGACAAACGCACGTGCGCGGAGAGACGGTCGCGCACTGTACGTACAGTACGGCGGGGGCGTGGAGCCCGGAGTGGGGGGGGGCTGCGTGTGGGGGGGGTGGGGGGTGGGGGCTGAGTGGGGAGTGGGGGGTGGGGGCTGGGTGTGGGGGCTGGGTGTGGGGTGGGGGCTGAGTGGGGGGTGGGGGCTGAGTGGGGGGTGGGGGCTGGGTGGGGGGTGGGGGCTGAGTGGGGGGTGGGGGCTGGGTGGGGGGTGGGGGCTGAGTGGGGGGTGGGGGCTGGGTGTGGGGGTCGCTATAAAAGCGGCGTTGACGGAGACGAGGCCTCTGTGCCTATGCTGTCAACGCAACAACAACATCATCGCTGCTGCCACTACTACCATCACCCACCACCACCACCACCACGAGATCGACCGCCATCGGACACAGAAACGCGGCCCCGATGTTCGTCTCCGCGAGTCGCATCGGCGGCGGCGCCTCTCGCTCGGCCCTCCTGGGCCTGAGCAGAAGCCTCGGTCTCTCCTCGCGGTCGCGGCCGCTCTCGAGGCCTCGTGGGCCCGCGTGCCGCCGAGGGTCGCCGTGCGTCGGGACCAGCGGGGCCCGTGGTTCCGTCTACGGCTCCTGGGGCGGTGCGGCCGCGCCGGGGAGATTCTACGGTCGAACCCCGGGGCATCGGGACGACGACGATGATGAGGACGGGAAGGAGGAGACGGTGGGCCCCGCGAAGAAGGCCGACAAGAAGAAGAGGATGATGTTCATGGCCATCCCCAGTCCCGGCGCGTGGCTCAAGCACAAGTTTTTATTCTTCCTCGTGAGGACTTACTTTGACTCCGACTTCAACATAGAGGAGTTCACGGAGGGCGCCAAGCAAGTGCGTGCGTTCGAACAACCGCGTATCACCTCTGCATTTATGTTGCTGCTGCTGCCGCTGCTGTGTAACCTTGCCCTACGGTCAAATATCGAAGGCTAAGCGGGTTATTGATCCTGTGTCGTGCGTGCTTTGATGGGCGACCACCGTGGGTTTTAAACGCGGCTGCGTTGATGGCACTGTGTGAGCAGCGTGAGGACGACTTGACAACCTGGTTATTGTATTGTACAGCTAAGTTCGCCGACATGCAGTTGACCAGTGCGATGTGAAGTAATGAAGTATGTTCAAATTACCCTTCCACGACCCGTAAACGCCGTGGGGGAGAGGGCCCGCGTTCGGCTGTAGGTTGACAACAAGGGCTGTATACGCAACTAACGTGTAACCATGCAGGGACGTTCTCTGATGCACAATGATCTTCACTGTTCTTTTGCAACAATTATTGCGCTCTGTCTATGCAATTGTGGGTTTGCTCTGTGCGCGGCGAGCAAGGTCAAACATTCAAATCGCATGGGCCGAGCCGACACAGTTAACCCTTGGAGTCTATACAACTAGTACTACTTTTTTAAGTCGTTATAGCCTTGTACTAATTGGATCTACGGGTTCCCGCCACGGGAATGTGCAATTGCCAACACTGGCTTAGGGCGGTCAATGAATGGGGAAGCACTGCCGAGAAAGACGTCTGCCGGTAGAGGTTTTTGGAGAGACTTCCATCCAGCAGTGGATTGACCATGGATGATGACGATGGCTTACGGCCTGCCGACGGAGGTCTCACCCCCCCCCCCCCCCCCCTGGCTGAGCAAATGTATTGTGATTGACATTGTATTGTCCGTAAATATATAAATGTGTCGTTAAACCCGCCACCACCCGACGGCCAATTAGTAAGAGTTGTCACGTTAACAGAACATGCCAATTCGTGACTAGTACAGCAACACCGGTGTGTTGGAGAGCAAATCCACAACATCTGCAATCTTGAGTACGACGTTTCGCCAGTAATTACAACTAGCTTCATCAGGCGGACGGACAGATTTGTGGCAATCCTCCTGTTTCATCCTTTAAATGGAGGGGTGGATGTGATGGCGTAACTTGTGAGCCCTTCACGTGCGAAAGGGGGGTGGCTTAATTAATTAATATATTGGTCTTGAAAGCCTATGTTTTATCCTGTATTGTGCTTAACCTGTTTAAACAGTAGGGCATTCGCGGTTATCAATTGACTGCGTTGCCTCATTTTGAAAGTGGACAACTTATTTTTAAACTCCCTGAAAGGGCTCCCGATGCAGGTGCAAGTTCTGGTGATTAGCCACGCTTGTCATCACCATGAACTTGTGGGGAGTTCTGACCTCAAATCAGCCAGGAATTCCAGAGTTCGCGCTTGCACTCAACAGGAGCAAATTCCGCTCGATACAGCAACGCTGATTACATTTGTACTGATCTTTGTTGGCAAGCTAAACCGGCGGTTTCAATGCCCGTCACATTTTGTCTCTTTGTTTTAATGACATTTTATTCATGCTTGCACATGACCAAATTTCCTCGTTTGTTATCGATCTAATAAGATCTCGGATCGATTAAGCAGGATTGCGTCTGGATAGTGATTTTGATTGGGCGAACGCCATGCATGACAGGTAATATTTGCTGTGGAACCTCGGCCCACACTGGTCGGCGTGGTGACGTATGGTCAACCCTCACGACCCGTGTGGGGGGATCCCTTCATCCAGCAGGGGATTAACAAAAAGAGACTGACTGTACACCAATGAAACTGCTGAAGGTTTTTTTGTTCAAGATATGGCAGCGCAGTAACGTCAATTTATTTTTTTTGCAGGCATTTTCTTCCGTGTCTTCACTCGTCGCTGAGAGCAAATTCGACCAACTTCAAGGACTCATGGATGAAGATGTAAGAACGACAGCACCTGCACTCTATGGGTGCCTTTTCCTGAGACCTTGGACACGTTGTATTTAATGTATGTGCGTAGTATTAAGTACGTGCTGTATGTTGCCAAATTGCCCAGAATGTGCCCTATATTGCCAAAATCTTGGAAGCCAAGCGGGATTGAACCTCGAAATTTGCTTGGATGGGCTAATCGCGATATAAAACGGCTCATCATAGGCAGCTTGCGGGGGGGATCCTTGGGGGGTGGGGTGATGCGCAGTGTGGCAAAATCAATCGTACTTCTATGCGCCCTGCCTTCACGCTAGTCTGATTTTGTGTAAAGTGTGGTCATGTAACCCACAGGAGCCACATGGTATGGGGTGACACTGGTGCAGCAGTATGATTTGACCAAAGGGTTGTACTTTTTCATTCATTTCTGCAATAAGTACACAAACAAAGCCAGCTGTTTTTAAAGCACTGGCAGATAGGTGCCATGAGTAGGACCGCGAAGGTGACGAGCGCACGTTACAACTCTCTCTTCACCCAACAGACCCTGGAAGAGTTGCGTCACAAGTGCAGCTTGATGGGTGAGAGCCAGCGGAGGCAACTTGCCGTCCCGTTGGAGGACGTCATGTACTCCGCAACTGACGATGTAGCCATCTACTACGATAATAGCGGTAATGCACCATAAGAGCTGGATCTCTACTTTATTCGTGCGCTTATGTGGGAGTGAAAATACCCCGAAAATGATGTTCCAAACGACTGCAGCACTCTCCTCTTCATGCATTTTCCCTCCTTGGCCACAAGATGGCACTTGCATAAATTGTATTGCTATGATTCACTCGAGATCAAAAATGTAATTCATTCGGGTCTAAGAACATGGAGTGAATGCATTCGTATTTGGTTTTTGTGGATGCTTTGGTGATCAATCATCCTGAGACTGAACCTTTAGTTTGTAAACATGGTAGCTCAAGCTTGTTTGGACCATGCACTTTTTTTAAAAGATGCCTTTAATTGTATATTTACAGCCACTGCTGAATGAAGGCTTCTGCTTTCCGTTTCAGACTTGATGATTGTTTGACCATACTTCACCATGCTGGTCAGTGCGGGTTGGTGAAGGTGGCTGGACTAGTTCAGATATCACTCGGCATCAATGTTTACTGTGGCTTGGAAGTGAACTTGTATCACCAGGTTCATAGTGTGGTATGCTAACCACTTCGCCACCCTTGTAAGTGTATACACTATAATATTTTTATTTGTGTACATTGTCAGTTATTTAGCACATTTGTTAATGTAATAGGTACTTAACGTCGACACATTGTTATTTTCAGGTCGGCGCTACGTGAACATCCTCATGAGATTCTGGTATTTGACAAGTGCAAGTTTGCCTGACAGTGATTTTGCTGGCATGAAGATTATCACGTTTTCCGCAGAAGATGAGGACAACACGCAGAGAATTGCCACGGCCAGTTACGAGTGCGTACAACAAACCTACGACTTAATCTGTCGGCGTGCAATCTCATCAGATCTATGATGCTAAATATCGTGGAGTCCGGATGGGTGACCATGCCCAAATAGGACTCAGGTGGGGGGGGGATGGCTATGTAGTTTGTCAACAGAGGGCGTTGCAGCAACGTCTCGTCCTGTAATTCTATGCTCCTACATCTGTGCTTTCTACCTGCAACCCATACTGACTTGCATGAAGTATAGCCAATGAGACGTGCCTTCTGCAAAATATCTTGGCACGCACGTTGATGTGATATTTTCCATGGAAGCAGGTGGCCACATTGCCTGTGTCCTGTCCAGATTGAATTGACACGGTGTTCATGTACAACAAATATATGATTTTTCGTTGCAGTTTCATGTATGCAGTATAGTTTGTGTTCTCACTCCCAGTGGTTTTCATACATTTTGTTAATCATTCAGAGTACACTTGTAAACTCTATTTTGAACAAAGCTGGACACTTATGCTATAAGCGGTCGTATAAAAGTAGCAAAGAGAAATACGATTTTTTTCAATATTATACACGGTTAAAACAGACTTGTGCTTCAACTATTTGCCTACAGTATTCACCTTGCAAATCGCTTATACATGCATTTATATACCTTTTTTAATGATCATTATACCTTATTCAACAAAATATGTAAACCTATGTCATGGAGCTTTCCCTATTTGGGTGTATATATATATAAATACGGTATATTGTTAATTGGTAAACTTATGAATTTGTGCCATTTGCATTTTGCTGTTACTGGCACCAGCAGACCTTTCCAACTATTGAACACTTGGAAGGAAATTTGAATATTTGTTGTATTCTGCTTGGTTTTTAACATCGTGTCCATTTTTTATTGTTCAGATTTCGCCGTGAATTTACAGAAGGTGTGGATGCAGACTGGACTGTCATCCGCCTCGTACATTGGAAGATGATGGAGTAGACTTGAAGCCACTTATGGGAACAAGTCAGTGGAAGAGACCGTTTGGAACTTTGGCTTGAAGAGGTGCAGTTGGCTCAATGAGGAGTGTTAATGTTTCTCACACTGCACACTGCATCGGATTGCCTACCACTCATGAAGAGGCTCCCTGCATCCTCATTTTAAGTGGGAGTTGGTTCGTGAACACTTGTTTGGAGCATTTTTTTTTCTTCAAGGATATTATTTGCGGAGAATGAAATGGTAGAACGATGATGTACTTGCCAGATGTAATTGCCTGGTTAACTTGTACAATTTTAATGTCATTAAATGTGGGTGGGGCTTAAGCATTTTAATAAAATAAATTGATTTTCATTATTGCAGTGCTGTTCTGAGTTTGTTAATACTCAAATACTTATGATGTTATCATTTATGTTGGTCGACAATGGCTAATTTATTATGAAAATCTGTGAAACGTTCTTCAAATGTAGACTGGGCTTGTGTTTCCGGTCCTTGTTTTAGATATGCTAAGGGTTGTAGCCGCGCTGTTATAATTTGCAGATATATTAATTAAAAATTATTGTTTAAGTGTTTCTCATTTACACTAAGGCAACCATTTTTGCTGCTTCCAGGGAATGTATATCAGCAGATGCACATTACCATGGAAATTCGAAGCGATTTTATGTTCACTTTGTAGGTTTTCAAGACGCAATTTTAATGTTACATGGTACAATCGGTGACTCCTGGATGAAGATTTCTCCATGCTGTTTCCATTCCTACATCCATTTCACTCCACATTGCTCCTCTTAGCTGCGGTTATCCTTCAGTGCTTTCCTTTCACTGACCTTTTCACCAATCGTGTCCATTGGCCATCATCTCTTATCCCAATGTGGTTCTGCTCCAGCCCCTTCCAGATGGGATACTACGTATGATTTAGTGTTAATGTGTTCCCTTAATTTTTCTTTCAGTAATTCAGCTTTTGTAAAATTTCTGTCTGTTCTTGGCTCTGATCCATGTCATGGTGAGTAATAGTCATTGGTTGAAAATGTAAATTTTGCAGAGACTGGTATGTTGGATTGAATGGTCAAGTTCAGTTATCAAGAAGTTGTACAAATAATGCACTTATTTTTTCTGTTTGGTCCCGGTCCACCTTCAGTAATTGTTCTCAACTGGGAAAACTCCTGTTTAACTCCTACCGCTAATGATTAGTTGGCTCGTATCTAGTACAATACCGACGTGCATTTAAATCAGCCGCTCGAAATTAAATTGTTTTCTAATTATATGTTCAAATTGTTTCGTTTAGCCATTTAAATATTATTCACTGCTTTGTATTTTCACCGCCAGGTGGTGCTATACGAACGTGGGCTGATTAACATGTGTCCTTTGCTCGCGAAAGACTAGGCGTAACCTCGTGTATCGTAATAATGGTTTTCGAGTTACTTGAAAGTTATGCCATTGGCTTCAATGCGGGCATGGCCGGTTTAACACTACTCTGAAAGACTTGCAGTAATGCGTGACCATTGTGAATTATCGTCACTCCTGTGTGTGCAAGCTAGCACGTGTTTAGGCAGGTGGGGAGTCCTGCCACTTCATCTGATTTAAGGTTCGTGTCCTTCCTATGCTACAGACATTTTAATGGGGTATCGCCTGGTGATAAATGACGTGGGTATACTGTAGGTACGTACACCTGCGTCGGTGTTTGAAGCAAAAAAAGTAGCTTTTATCAGGTAAGGCCCACTAAGCTATATGGCTCAGAAGCGACCTGGCTGCAAATGATCGACAAAGTGACTTATAGTGACATTTATAACAGCCAAATATTCGAAGCGCATGTTTCTAAATATACCTTGTTATGTTGAACTTTCGCACCATCCGTAGGCAACCGTGCTAATCGGAGGTGCGGGGTAAATCTTTGACACAGACATGTGAAGAGCCACATTTTACATTTGTTGAAACGGCCGAAAAGCCACGTTACGTTTTGGCACTTCGCAAAGACTGACATTTGAAAAATCGCGCAAAATTAGGTTGACAGCGTAAAAAATGTGGCACGTGAACGTGTTTTTTAATAACTCGTCACTTTTTGGTGAGCATAGTACGAGTACTGTAATTAACCACAACACGTTTTTTCACATCAGCCATGGATCCATCCATTGCTAGATGAAGGGCCCTCCCCAAATTTGATCGGATTATTGGTTTTATGAAAAAAACACATGGTTTTAATCCGGCAAGTCAAGTTGTCAATCGGCGCCAGAGTATCTCGGATTCGCTGTCCTCTTCGATCATCTCAACCGCGCCGTCGAAAGAAGGTGGGAATGTTGCTCTTGATGAAGACGACCGTCACCGACTGCACGCTCGGGCTGTTCGTCAGCTTGGAGTGAACGAAGGCCGTGGTGGAGCTCCGGCCACTCGCTGCCATCGGACAGCCGAGACTCCATCGGTGTCTTGCGACCTTTGACCATCTTGTAGCGGAACGTGTTTGCCTTCTCTTTGGTGGGGAGCTATAATTATAGGGATTAAAAGGCAATAAAACCGGATTTTTGGCCACCTGAGATGATCGTTTTTTGATTAAAATCATGAAAAACCCGATGCTGCCAGCCCTGCGATGTATCAATCCACTTGCCCACGAGCTTCCGATTGGGGGATTAAAAACGTAGATTTTATGCCAGTCAGTGCAAATCTAACAATCCACCTCGGATCAATGTGAGTCTGTCGCACACCGACACCCGCAGGAGTTCATTGAAAGGTGTAAGTCGCACTTAGCGGTGGCAGACCCAGTCCGGATTCCTGCACCGCTGCACATAACTGCTGCACTTAATTGCTGTTATACTGCTCTACACTTCATCGCTGTACGTAAATGCACTGCTGCACTTGACTGCCGCACTTTAACTGCTGAATGACACTTCACTGCTGCATTGCCGCTCTTGAATGCTGCCCACCACTGCTGCATTTTCGTGCACTGCTGCTCTTTACTTGCCAACCATGTACTGACGGTCATTGCATCGCCCACTTTCTTGCCCTGCGGCCGTCTGGAACACTCGTGATATTAGGAGGCCACTGGGAGCTATGATGCACTTTAGAATTATCCCGATTGAAAGCGAATTTCTTTAGAACTGCTTTTCGTGCTTAGTTATCCTTCGCTCCGCACCTCTGATGAGGACGGTTGGCTACGTGCGCTGCGAGAGAAGTTCAAACTACACGGGCACATACAACGCAGTGGACACTTCACTGCTGCGCTTCTGCTCTTGACTGCTGCATTTTGCCGACCACGTTCACCGCACCGCAGCGCGTGCGCGACACCGCACCGGCCTTGCTGCTCCGAATACTTCCCTCCGCTGCCACCGCATTAGCGATGGGGTGGGTGGGTGGGGGGGCTCCAGCCCCTTAGGCGACCCGGGCGTTTGACTCGCGCGTCCCGGCCAGGGGTGCGGCCGGGCGGGGTCCGAGGCTCTTGGCTCGGGGGGTTAGGGGTGGGGGGGATTGTGAGGAGTGTTGGGGGATAGGGGCCGTACATAAATGACGTCACGCACCTAGGGGGGGGGGGTCAGACATTTGTGACGGGGGGGGGGGGGGAGAAACGTGACGTCACATCAAAATGCGCAACTTTAAATAAATATAGACAACACTTTCTACTTAATTAAATATACTTTTAAATATATGCTTTCTCCTACAACATCATAGTGCAGCGCCACATTAAGTGCGCACTACAATTGCAATAGTTTAAAGCGATTTGAAGCATGTTTTATTTTTTAAATGGAAATATGGTTTGGGGGGGGGGCAGAGCTTTGTGACGTCATATTTGAGGGTGGTCTGACTTTTTGTGACGCCGTGCGACGAGGGGGGGGGGGGTCAAAAATCGTCCAAAATCGCGTGACGTCATTTATGGACGACCCCATAGGTGGAGAGAGCGGTGGTTGTCGTGGTAAGCGCTACGAACCTGGCGGCAACCCGAATTCGATTCCCCGCTCGCGTCCACCAACATCGGTGACGATTATCTGAACCGGTCCTGGGCCTCCCCTAGGTCAACTCAGCCTCAAGTGAGTACCTGGTGTAGCAGTTTTATAGTTAAACATCGCCACTGGGGTGGGGGTGAGAGACAAAGGCGGTCGGACATGGTGCTGGCCACCCACCAACCTCGTGCGCCGTGCCGGCCTTCATCGTTGCTGCTCGCTAACAGCACTTGCCCCAACAGCCTGTTGCAGGCTATACGGGGGATCTTTGTCCTTGTGGGGGTGGGGATAGGTGAGAGAGGAGGGGGGGTGGGGATGTCGGGAGGGAGGGAGGGGATGTGGCGTCACGAGCCGATGAACTCCACGAGGTCGCCGTACTCGTATTGACATGGACACACCTGAGCAAGCACAGAGCGGCGTCAGTGGAGGAAAGAGGAACACCCCCCCCCCCGCCCCCCATTGCCCCCCCCGCCCCCACCTCTTGCCCCCCCGCCCCCACCTCTTGCCCCCCCCGCCCCCACCTTTGCCCCCCCGCCCCCACCTCTTGCCTCCCCCCCCGCCCCCACATCTTGCCCCCCCCCCGCCCCCACCTCTTGCCCCCCCCGCCCCCACCTCTTGCCTCCCCCCCCGCCCCCCACCTCTTGCCCCCCCGCCCCCACCTCTTGCCCCCCCCGCCCCCACCTTTGCCCCCCCGCCCCCACCTCTTGCCTCCCCCCCCGCCCCCACATCTTGCCCCCCCCCGCCCCCACCTCTTGCCCCCCCCGCCCCCACCTCTTGCCTCCCCCCCCGCCCCCACCTCTTGCCCCCCCCCCGCCCCCACCTCTTGCCCCCCCCCCGCCCCCACCTCTTGCCCCCCCCGCCCCCACCTCTTGCCTCCCCCCCCGCCCCCACATCTTGCCCCCCCCCGCCCCCACCTCTTGCCCCCCCCCGCCCCCACCTCTTGCCCCCCCCGCCCCCACCTCTTGCCCCCCCCCGCCCCCACCTCTTGCCCCCCCCCGCCCCCACCTCTTGCCCCCCCCGCCCCCACCTCTTGCCTCCCCCCCCGCCCCCACCTCTTGCCCCCCCCCGCCCCCACATCTTGCCCCCCCCGCCCCGACCTCTTGCCTCCCCCCGCCCCCACCTCTTGCCCCCCCCGCCCCCACATCTTGCCCCCCCCGCCCCCACCTCTTGCCTCCCCCCCCGCGCCCCCACCTCTTGCCCCCCCCCGCCCCCACATCTTGCCCCCCCCGCCCCGACCTCTTGCCTCCCCCCGCCCCCACCTCTTGCCCCCCCCCGCCCCCACATCTTGCCCCCCCCGCCCCCACATCTTGCCTCCCCACTCCTCCCATCCACCTGCGACAGGTGTGACTTGAATCCTGTGCGCTCCCCGGTGACACGAGGCGTGACTTACCCGTGGGCTCACCTGCGCGGCGCTGTCACTTCGCCTGTGGCTGTCGGCTTGAGCGGTGTGGTGGGGTGGTGTGTCGTGGTGTGGTGAGACGGTGTGGTGTGGTGTGTCGTGGTGTGGTGTGGCGTGACTTGACACCCCGCGCAGCACGGGAGGGGAGATAAGCCACCTTGTGCGTTCGCCTGCGAGTTTCGCCGACAAAGACGAATCGAGAGTCTAGAAGACGATTCACCTTTGCGGTGCTCGCACGCGAGCGACGTCTCGAGGAGGAGGGGAGGGGGTGGAGATGAGTTCCTCAAGCTGACAGGCAGCAAGACGCCGGCGAGAGGGAGTGAGAAGGTAGAGGAAGACGTTCATGCCGAGGGGACCTAGGGCACGCACCTGCCTGGCTCGACCGCGTCGCGCTGCATCGCCATGGCCAAGAGAGGCTCTCGTCAAGGTACCGAGGGTGTCGCAATGTGACCGACGTTATCTCTCGATCATCGAACACTCGTGCATCGTTCATTACGCAAATATCGTCGCTGCGTGATTTGTGATTGTTTTGTTTGCTGTCGTAAACATCGCTGCACGGTGTTTTTTTTTCCTGACAAAATATCGGATGACGTTATAAACTGGACACAACTGACGTCGTAAATCGATAGCTGTTCATTAAAGTGGTAGTGTGTGTCACTTATCGTCCGTCACCGTTGTATAAGTACCTTGTATTGATTTACAGCGGAGTACTGATGTGCTGTGTAAACCACAGCGCGTGTGTTGATGTGAAGTTGCAATGATTTGAGAAGACTTTGCGGCAGGCTTATTTGCGAGTGCATTGCAGTTGAAGAACGTCGGGGGGGGGGGGATACTCTTTATTTACACGCGCTCAAGTTAAACAAAGCACAACACCTGTAATAAAGAAACATCCAATACTATTGCAAAGTTAATCAGAAACTCATATAGCTACAATCACATTGTGAAATTTCGGATCGCCGTACAATCGTTTCGTGGAAATCAATGCCTCCACGGTTTAAAAAACCCAATCACACTGGATGCCTTGACTCGGCCAAATGTACAGGGTGGTCCAGATGCATGGTGACCCCCATTTAAATTATGTAAAACTATAGATTTAAGTAAAGCGTATTTCAAACAGAAATGAATATGCAAAGGAAAAGTTATAAATGTTAGGGTCAATTCATTCATTGGCGGTCACAAGACATGGGCCACCCTTTAGAAAGTAGGGTTGGTATACCGGTGATCACTACCTATGGAATATTTGGAATGAATGCAGCAATTAGCAATCACTAGAACGTACAAACGGCACGGTGGCGTGCAACTCTGATTGGCCAGCGACAGGCTTTTAAATCACCAACGCCAACAAGTTATAAGTTGTCAAGTTTACCTTGTGTAACCAGGTGAGGACTCATGAGGCCAGGATAGTATTAAAGTAATTAACAAGAGAGTGACTTGGTTCACGAAAATAACAAAAGGCAAAAAAAAATGTGCAAGCAATAAAGCAAAATAGAAATCAGAAACCGGAAAAAAAGCCGGTGGCTTCATTACAGAATGCCTAAATAAGTTCACTCGTGGGTTCCGTTGTTTGTCAGTTAAGGCAAAAGATAAAATAAGGTTAAGGCGCAGCCCTGTAATTGCATTGCTCACGCCACTGGTGGTGGAAGAGCCTCCTCTGCTTCGAGGGAGGCTTTCCATCCTACCTACTTTCACGCTGAAAGAAGAGGCGAGCATTACCCACACTTTAGCCTACCACGCGCAATCTGTCAATCCACCGACTCGATCACTTCATATACTGCTTCGTGGACAGAGGTGGAGGGAATGCAAGTACATTACTGATAATGATTGCAAATGCTGCCCAGCCGAATGGAACCGGTTAACTCCGCATTGAAACTCAATTTTTCTAACCTTTATACCACAGCATCTCCCTGTGTGCCTCAGTTAAACGATGTGAAGAAGATGTTACATGTACTGCTCTTCACATTTCTTAACGTGCGGCATACCGGTAACGGGTTTTACCGGTTTTGTTTTACAATTGATTACCGGTAATACAAGACAACCGATTGAGAACCACTCCTTGGGGAAATGAGGTACACAGCTTACAGTTACCCAGTAGATTGATCAGCAGTGTTTCCCTGGAAGAGGTCTTTCTTCGGCGTCACCAGAAGTTACTTCATGGCCGAACAACCTCAGTTTTAGATTGGTAATCATTGCAATTGCAACACATACGCAAGGGGACGTAATGTAGACGAAAACATTACTTTCGAGCCGACGTTAAGGAGTGTGTGGTACAGTTTGTAATGAGTGATATCGCCCATTTAAATTGGAATTAAGGCATTTATTGTGCTACGTGGGTATTTTTTATATCATGTTTATCTTTCTAATTCATTACAGTATTGTACACAGTGTTTCCTCGTACTGCTGTTTATAAACGAGTATCAAAAGCATACTGCATACGGAGCTCATATTAGTTAGCAGCTCCTGGGACATTATTGGACAATGCCATATTCCTATGCAAGGGTCAGATAATTGTTATAAGACCACGACTCAATTGACTTCTCATGAAGTTGTAGTGATTTTTATCGACTGGATTAATGATGTTACTGGGTCGTCCTTGAGCTGGATTTGAACTTTCAGCCTTTGGGTGTAAAGAGGCTATATCTACAGTGCAATACAACCCTGTTAGCTAAATTTATACTTTATGGTGCTGCACGTAAACGTTTCACTGGACTTGAATGCGGTCTATTACGTTTGCTGCACAGGGATTTATAATTATTTACACTAATTTAACTTTACAAAGTCCAATACAGCATTCACGATACTACTGTATACTGTCACAATGAAAAGCAATAATGGCATGTGCATAAAGAAGAACGGTTTTAAGCAATGAACATGGCCAGTTGTTATGACTTGGATCCAGAAACATGGACACTCACAAATACAATTTTAACACAAGCTGAAATCTTCGCAAAATAAGCACGCTTTGAGTTTTATTAAGCGGCTGAAAGAGGAACTGGTCGACTCGAAGTTAAACGACATCCTGTTGACTCAAAACTAAGTGCCCTTGGGCTGGAGACGTCACAAGTAGTTGTGGCGAACGACCTGGTCACATCCAAAGGAGGTAACGCACCCAAGAGAAGAAAATGGAGTGTGAAATCAGCTGCCATGCAGGTTAAGCGACATCGATTGTTGCATCCCATAGATAGCGAAAGCTTTTGGAGACGTTCATCCAGCAGTCTATTGATCATGGCTGTTGATGATATGATCACATGTCCATTTAACACCGTGTGTTCTAAATATTGAAATCATTTCACTATTATACACAGACTTGAAACTACAATATAGTAGCTGCTTTTTTGGTATGTTGTGTACAGAAGCCTTACTAATGGCATCTATACACTGTATGAAAAATATGTGCCCACCCATGCAGTCAATCTATGCCTGTATATTGTCTCAATGAGCAGTCACCTGGATTGAATATGGGATTCGTGTCAGATTATCAAGAAAACTTCATCAGGTGAATAACATTTATGACCCTGAGAAGCAAGCTAGAGAGATCTCCCGCAGCACAGTAGTTACTTTGAGACTAACCTTTAGACATTGTGCACACATGTTTAGCATTTAATTTCATATACGCTACACACCTATGACAAATTAGCATTTGAATCAACCCCAACTATGTAAAAAAATCTTCTAACTTGTGATACAGGTTTTTTTGGTTTTATGTTCAGTTGAAAAAAAGGATCCCATAGTTATTAGCATAACTTATTTGTTTGTTGTCAAATATATATTCTCAGTTTTCCAACGTGACAATATTCTATACTTGAGATAATCAGGATTGGGAATCGATGCCAAGTGGCCAGTGTTGTAGTGCAACATCCTCCAGTTCACTACAGTACTGTGTGTACTCTCTTTATAACACATATTTGTTCGGCATGCCTATATGCAAATGTTCAAACTAAAGTAGTTCTCTGCTTCATTTGTGCAACTGTCACATGCCATTTCCTTATCCCAGCTACAACTGGAGGCCCTTGTCCAAGCCTTTATCATATCCTGACTCGACTATTGCGACTCTCCTCTACAAAACTTCCCTAAATCCGTCATCTGCAAACTCTAAATAATCCCGAAATATTGCTGATAGACTTCTCCCGTCATCAAGGCCACATCACCCCAATACGGTCATCAATATTCTCCATGGACTTTCGCATGCCTACCTATCCTCTCTATCTCAATTTTCAGCCCCTCCATGTACTCTTCACTGAAGTAAGCAAGGCTTTTTAAAAATCGTGTTCCTCATTTTTATCCTGATAGTGCTATTGGTGTCGTGTCATTCGAAGAAGTATCAATTTAGAACTCATTGGGAAGTTGCACATTCTCTCATGCTGCCCATGTAAATTGGAACTCCCTCAGCCATCCATGCCCTTCATTCCCTACGCTGATTCAAGTCCAAGCTCAATAGCTTTGTTTTTTTCCTCTGCTTATGATTGACTACGCGCCTCTCTCTAAATACTGTTCAGTATGCCCACTGTTTCTGTACGGTTCTTGAGGTGTGGTTGCGTTGAGATTCTATTTAAATCGATATTGCATTTCGTTATAACTTGGTGCCCATGCATATACCAAACAATTTGCAAGCGGTGATTAGTCGACATGTGTGAACTGTTTGCTTATTCACTGTTTAAAAGGAGGTAACATTAATCTCACGAACACTGGGTTTTCAAAGGTCAAGTTTGTGGTTTCTCGGATTTATTTTGATGCCTTGATGTTTGTTTTGTGCTTTATGGTCTGTGTTACTGAATGCATGTGGGAACAGGTCTTCTTGAAACCAAAGTTTACTTCAGTACAGTCCTGTATTGTATTGTATTGCACTTCCAACAATCATGGAATGCTTGTAAAATATGGTCTTAATCCCTTATTCCGGGAACCTGTTGAGTTTTACAATGTTTGAACTGATTTATAACCATTAACCCTATTCAATCAACGCACTTAAAGGACACATTAATTTTAAGCATTGCAAAGTAAAAACACAGTGTCTCCCTGTATTTATCACCCTTTTTGCAGCCCTGAGCTAACAGTGAAAATTGAACCTTATGGCAGTAACCCGGGGCACCAGAGTAACCCGGCTCTTGCATAATGTCCGTGATGCAGTCATTTTGAGTCCTGGTGATGGTCGGCGATGCGGCAATCGACTCATCTCGACGAGCAGTACACGATGCACTATTCAAAGTAAAAAAATTTGATAACGGATTTTTACGCTAATGTTTGGCGTTTCGACATCGTGGAGTAGCATTGATTTCGGATTGATTGGTACCCCAGTCGCGGAGTTAAGTACACCCCTGGGAAAAATAGTGTCCCAGAAATAAAACATAAAATTTCCTAGGGCATTTTGTATTATTTGGTACCCCGGGGATACCGCCATAAGGATCAATTCTAGATTTCCTTGGTGGGTGCTAG